TTATCTCTCCACCTAAATTGTTACTCTCTAATGTTTTATCATAGTATATGTTTTTCATCGATATCTCATATATGTTTTTTTCTTTTTGGTTAACTAATCTGAACGTGCTGGTGTTGTTTTTGAATTCAAATCTTCCCCACGTTACCATTTTCGATAGATCAAATTTTCCAACACAATTTTCCAGTACGATAATTTGACATGATTTATATATAGATATTACCGCATCATTAGTAGCTATAATATTAACCAATTGAATTTCCTTTATATCGCGACCCAACTCTGTACTGCTATTAAAAGTTACATTCTTAATGTAAAGTTTGTCAAAGTACCTACTTGATTGAATATAAAATTTGAGCACCCAAGATATATACCGAAATTCCATGTTATCCAAATTTACCACTGATGGATAGCGAATTGTACCTGTCGTTCCAGTTATTTTTATTTTTCTGCAATCTTCATTTATTATTAGAACTTTGTTCTGTCCGATTTGCGTGTTTGCTAGCTTCAAAGTTTTCAATCCATGTGGCATTTCAAGATTGACATCGATTAAAGAATTCTGATCATGTAGCACAAGGAGGTTTTGTGACAAGCGTGTTTCTTCACCAAATATACAATTGGAACAATGTAGATGTATATGTTTTCCCCTCAACATACTTAAGTCAATATTGTATTTTATAAATGAAAATCGCAAAACAACGGTTTTGACATAATCAGGTGAAATGAACGGGTGACATAGCATCTTGTAAATGTTTTCGAGATGAATCAAACTGTATAGTTTTACGGGTGGTCGATTCTGTGCAATATCATTTTTTTTGTGCAAAAAACCGGTAAAATCAACGTCTATTGTTAAGCCAATTGTACTGGAATACACAAAGGAAAAATCAAATGATTCAACTTGCAGCATCTTGTAATTAATTGTGCAATAATGCATCGGAATTGGAAAAAATAAATGATCTGCAAAGTCTATGTAGAGTGGAATTTTATACTCTTCTTCGTGAGAACTTGCAGTTACCATGGTATTGCCTGAACGATCTTTGAGAATGAAATAACCGTATTTGCTGAATAAAGCGGAAACATTTTCAAACCAGAAAGGTTTATCTTGTGGAGTAAAACCATCTTCATCCCGCTGTTTATTCAAAAATGTTGTTTCTAACTGGCTATATAAACCACTAGTGTGTAATAAATTTTTAAAGAGCAAAAACGCAATTATCCCGCCTCTATCTATGATATATGGTAATATGTAAAGAATATCGTATATTTCATCGGGGGTAACATCCAATTCTGAGTAGAATGATAGATTGCAAAGCTTTTGATATAGCGATTTGCTGATTGGTAGCTCGACTACCTCATATTTATTAGATGCATAGTTTGAAGCCTTGAGGAATTCGTTAACTTTTTTATAATATCATGGTATTTGTCATTTATAATTGTGGAGCTGTTGCTGTTTAAAATCGTTGTTGAGTTCAGGTGGTTTTCATCCAAGTTGTAGGAAGTCTGTCTTACTGTAAAATATTTATCGTTCCACCGATCAAAGTTGGGCAAGTCACGGAGTTTCACCAGCAGATCATTCTGATCTTGAACAACTAAATGTTCAATATTTTCAAAATCCCCTTTGAAATGTTTTGGAGTGAATAAAATAATAATTATACTAGTTAACGTTGTTGATCGTACAATATTTTGTGGCATCATAGAAAAATGTACGCCAAATAATTTATATATATTAAAAATAAAATATTACCACCAAAAATTCTTAATTATTTTCATTTACCTTATAAGTATAAGGTGACCCCGAAATATAAGCTTGTATATTTTAATTGAGATGAAAAAATACTTATTTCGTTGGTAAAACTATTATTAACCATTCTATAACCTGAATATAATCTTTAATCTATCAATTCTAATGAATTAGTTGACTGTTGTCGATAGTTGCTGTGTTGAAGCAATAAGTAACAAAATATATCAAAAAAAATTATTTTATCACCAAAACACATAGGATCATGTTGAACGAATTTTTTTCCTGTAAACATCTTTAAAAATTTGTTTTTGTGAACAATAAATATGATATTCCAAAAATAAAATTAATAATAATGTAATCGGAATAAGGACATGCAAAATACAGCAAATTTGAATGTTTCGGGAACAGAAATAGTTTATGAATATTTTTTTGTTTAAGTATTCGTATAATGATGTTCATTTACTAAAAGTCTGTCTAATTATCTCCTTTATACGCACTATCTAATCAAATCTACTCTTCAAGTCTGCTGAGACCGATCATGGTTACCGGCCTTTGGTTCATGTATAATGATGTTTAATATATCAAGTAATGCTTGTGGAACCATTTTCTTCATATTCTTGGTAAACCACGGTCGATAATTTTCAATTTTTTGCTTGCTAAACAGAAAAAAACTGTTTAGAAAGCTAATCGATATTCTATATCATTTTATTAGCGACTTTATCAAGTTTTCGTATTAGATACCATTAACTAAATCTGGACACAAAGCATATCTGTATTATTATGTAATTATTATGAATATATGATAAATAATGCCACTTTGATTCCAAACAACTCAACAAATTGAAGTCACCAACTTCGTACGTTCTTGTTATGAAAAGAAAACAAAATTCGAAACGTGTGCTGGTTTTCTAAATAGTTTAGTCCATAATTAGTGATGATATAGTATTAAAAATAGATGTAATAGAATGATATAAAGGTTTCATTATCTTATGACAAGGAAAAATAAATGCACAAAAAAAGCACATACATGTTAGTAAAATATTTTTGGGGTTTATACGGTATGAAGATGATTTTTCATGATTTTTAATGTCGTTGTATATACTTTTTGCCATTAACGAGCTTATTTTTGTGGAATAAGAACATCAGACTAAAAAACTCCTTATAGAGTTAAACTGTAAAGAAATATATTTTCCGGTACCTAACATATGTTAAGTTTAAAGGTACCGTTATCTATGAATAAAATAAAAACAGATTGTGATTCAAATACGTCGCAGTTACGACCATATAGTTCTATGAATGTAGACCATAATAATTCTAAAAAGAGATAATTATTAAATTAATTCTATTAATGAAAAGATTAATTGGTTTTAATACAACTTCTGTAATTTTAAAAACATGCTGTTTCAACCTAGAATCTAACCATAGCTTTTCATATGACCTTAGGTTATTTACTGGCCCAAAAAACCTGTTAACATCGTGTCACTGTCAATATTTCATAAAGCATGAAATGATTTTCGAATCTTTTGTTTCGCACTTATACTAATTTAACTGCATCACGTTCTCTCTCCGTAAAGCGTCGCTATAAGATTAAGCTAATTACTTCAAAAATTCTATTGTTGTGCAAAAGCTGCATTTTCACAGGTACGTATTTGTGGTGTTCTAGTACAAATTATATTCTACTTATCATACAACACGAGCAAAAAATGTTTTTTTTTGAAGAAACATATTTAATCAATAGCAAAAAATGGTTATTTGCCATACCGTGTACCAGGTTAACCAGAAATCAGATACGCTTGGTGATATTTATGTGAATCTATAAGTGTGTATAGTTTACTTATAATGATGTGAATAAACTCCTTGACAATAAAATTTATTTACTCATTGCACGATACTGTATACAACCTACAAAAAAATATGACAAAATTAACTAAAGTAAAACAAAACAAACATGTTTTTGTTATTCACACCATTACTATGCCGTAATAAACACTATATATCGCTATATGATCATCTACCAGAAATGAAGGCCTTGATTTGATACCTTCTACTTCCTTTTGAGGATTTGATCACAGGTAAAAACAACCTTTTCAGCATTATATACCTAGAGTGTTTTTTTTGGTTACAAAATGTGTGGTATTAACATGAAATTATGCGAAACAGTATTAATAAAAGTATTAAGATCTGTGCTAGTAAAATTAAACTTATGATAAATAATACTTAAAAATACAAAACTTCAATAAATCACGTGTAGGATATTTGATATTAAATGTGTTACTAGTGTGTTATAGAACAATAAATATGATGGTTTTAAATCGAGTTAGATTTGTGTTCCGAATTTGTTTGATGAATGACACGGATTATGATGACAACTAAGCTGGAATATCGATCATGGTATCAATGATAAATTATCGCTATATAATGAAGTGCTGAGTTAAATATTACTACTTTGATAATAGGATGTGTGTCTTATGTAGAAATAAAGCGATGTTGTGCACCATGCTAATAGCTATGAACCGTATTTTGCAATATTTACATGCTTGAAAAAGCAATATTTTAATGAAATACCAAATAGCTATCAAGTTATTCGTATTGTTCCAAGCAAAAACGTAAATAGATCTAGGTATTGGTAATTAATAAGCATATTAAACATTACGCTGTATGAATAGTATAAATTAAGAAGAGCAGTAATACTTTTTACACAGCTCGTGATATAAATTGGGTTAAATTTTTGATTTATCTAAATTTTTAAAATAAAGCTATTTAACTTTTTTCTCGCATGTTATATTGGTCCATCAGAATTAACATGTTAGAATGTGCCCAAGATAACTTGTCTATTCCAAATTAAAAAGTTAAAGGAGAACTACCCCTATGCGCGAGTTGCCAGAGGAAAGAGAGAAATCCGTTTACAAAAGAATACTTGAGTCCGATGTATTCAAGCGCTCCATCATAGTTTCACTTTACGGCATCATACTGATGCTTTGCACGTTTTTAGCCATGGTTGCAGAAGCAGAAGAAAGCAAGAATTTGAAAGATGTAATCTGCCATGTTTGGTGCCGTTTTAAAAAGTAAACCACATTACAGTAAATAAATATCTTGTATCAAATATAACATTAAACTTTAGTGAAGATCGTACATATTGACAGAGCAGAATACTTTTTACCTAAATAAGAATAAAAACTTTTGGTAAATAATTTGTGACATAAAATGTTTTGCGACAGGATGACTTGTTTCATTCTCACCGCTGACGGAAAAGTAAGAAAAAATGTGGAGAACCCAGGATTCGAACCCAGTACCTCTCGCACGCTAAGCGAGCGCTCTACCAAGTGAGCTAGTCCCCCGACAGCTGCATCCAACATCTGGATATTTATTATTTATCGTTAAACTTAATCAATATCAAATAAACGAATCAAAACATTGTTTCCGTGTATTTTTTTCTCTAAAAGCATTCTTTGCTAAAATAGTTGAATCAAAACATTGTTTCAGCTTTTAAATTAATAACAAACAGTACAGATGTAAATAAAGATGTTCTTCTTACATTTTCTGACCATTCGATCCATTTTTGAGAAACGGGACGATGGCACGTTTGTAATGACACTCAAAGACATCGATGATGCCGGAGGAATCGACGGGCTGCTGGGCAAGCTGAAAGAAAGCGGGCTCCTAGGATTCGAGCTGCCTTCAAGGAATGAGACGAAGAAATCCGAGCTGTCAACGGAAGAGGCTGCAAAGAAAGATGGCGATAAGAGCGGACTGACTGCTATCGGAGCAGGTGCCAAGGGTGGTGAGGCACAAAGCGGTGCTGAATCCAAGCAATCTGGTCAAGCCGAAAAGCAGGAAAAGAGCAAAGAGAAAGACACGCAGCGCCAAGACAAAGCAGAGCAACAACAAAAGAAACAGACGGATAAAAAGGAAGCCGAGGAGAAGAAGAAGGAGAAGGGAGCCGAAGCTGAAAAGAAGAAGAGCAACAGAAAGAAAAGACAGAAGCAAAGAAGAAAGAGAAAGATGCCGAGGCTGAGAAGAAGAAGGAGCAACAGAAAGAAAGAACTGAGGTGAAAAAGAAAGAAAAGGAAAAAGAAGCTGAGAAGAAGAAGGAGAAAGAGAAGGAAAAAGGCAAAAAGAAAGAAGAAGAACAGGCGAAGAAGAAGGAAAAGAAGGAGAAAGAAAAAGAGACTAGTAAAGAGAAAGAAGCAAAGAAACAGAAAGATAAACGAGAGAAAGAAAAGAAGAAAGAGAAAGATGAAAAGGAAAAGAAGGGAAAAAGCGAGAAGGAGAAAGATAAACAAGAGAAGGAAAAGAAAAAGGAAACAAAGAAGCCTGAAAAAGAGTCTAAAACTGCCGCTAAATCTTCAGAACAAGAATCTAAAACATCTAAGGAAAAGGCTGATAAGTCAACTGAGAGTGAAAAGAGTACAACAGAAAGTAAATCGGAAGGTGTTGAGCCTACCGTTCAGAAATCTGAGATTAGTAGCACGGAAGGTAAGAGCTCTTCAAGTGCTTCTGCGGAAGCATCAAAAACGGTTGCATCTGATTCGATATCAACTTCGTCTGAAAAATCCGCGGAATTATCAAGTTCAATTTCTGCCTCGGTACAGTCTTCGTCAGTTCAAGCATCGTCTTCAATGCCGATGTCATCAGAGATGTCCTCAGCGATGTCTTCATCAATGCCGATGTCATCAGAGATGTCCTCGGCGATGTCCTCATCAATGCCGATGTCATCGGAGATGTCCTCAGCGATGTCA